CATCCATCATCCATCATCCATCATCCATCATCCATCCATCATCCATCATCCATCCATGGATCCATGGATCCATCATCCATCATCCATCATCCATCATCCATCCATCCATCATCCATCATCCATCATCCATCCATCATCCATCATCCATCCATCCATCCATCCATCCATCCCTCCCTCCTCCCATTCCCGTATCCAGCCTGGAAAAGCTCCATGGCTCCTGCCGGGAGCCTCTGCAGGTACAAAAACCTCCCAGGGCTTCTTTAAAAATCCAAGAATTTCTCTTGGCGAGAGAGAAATGAGTCACGGCAGGGAGAGAGGGAGAGGAGAGAGAGCTCAGGGCAGCAGGAGGGAAGGAGAGCTGGGAAAATAAAGGGATGGGAATAAAGGGATGAGAATAAAGGGATGGGAATTCACTGGGAAGCAACTATGGCATGGGACACCTGATGGAGCTGGAGATTTGGGACGGAGCCACTGTCACTGAGGGCAGGATTTTCCCTGCAGGATTTTCCCCTGCAGGATTTGCCCTGCAGGATTTGCCCTGCAGCCCTGCAGACACTCGAGCTTTTGGAACGCCAGGCTTGGAAAAGCAGATCCCTGCCTTGCTTGGGAAGGTGACAGTGACATCCCAGCTGGGCGGGGCACTGCCCCCACACAGGGGAGGGTCAGTTTGGTCACCAGGAGGAATTTTTCCGTGGAAAAGGCAGGATTGGAAGTGCACAGGGAGCTTTGGAGTCCCCATCCCTGGAGGTGCCCGGGGAAGGCCGGGATGTGACACTCAGGGTGACAATGTGGGGACCGGACACAGCTCGCGGGGATCCTCAGCCCCGCTGAGTCTGCGATTTTGGGGCACATGGGGCTGCAGGAACCAGCCCGGCTCTGCCGGGATCGGGTCCGCGCTGCGGCTCTGGCACTGCTGTCCCTCCCTCCCTCCTTCCCTCCTTGCCTGTGTCGCACATCAGCGGTGACGCCAGCAGCTCCTGTCCCCGCTGAGTGCTGAGACAGCCGATCCCAGCTCCCGGCTCTGACGTGCGAACCTGCCCTTCATTCCAGTCACACCGAGCTCTTTTCTCTCTTTTTTTTTTTTTTTTTTTTTTTTTTTTTTTTTTTTTTTTTTTTTTTTTTTTAATCCCTGCCGAGCCCCACTTCGCTCTCACTGGACGCGATGAAGCACCGGGATGCCCCGGGCTTGGCACTGCCCGGCCTCCCCAGGAGCAATTAAAGCTAACGAGGGCCACGGGCTGAGCTGGCAGCTGGCGGTGAACCCGGGTCAGGAATGACACATCCCATCCGTAAAGGATGGCGGTGGACGAGGCTGAGTTCCGGGAAGAAAAAAAAAAAAAAAAAAAAAAAAAAGAGAGAGAAACGAAAAACCAAGGAAGGGCAGGAGGGGAGGGAGAATCCGTCCCCAGAGGCCAGGAGGGGGAGGGGGCAGCTCAGGGGATGTGGGATGAGATCTCTGCAGGATTGGGGTGCTGCGGGTTGGGGCTGGAAGGGCAAAGATCCAGGGTAGGTGTTGGAGGTAGGGATGGATGGGATGTTCCAGGTGTGTCCCAGATCCAGCCTGAGTCCAGGAGTGCTCCAGGACCCAAACCTGAGTCCAGGTGTGCTCCCAGATCCAGCCTGAGTCCAGGAGTGCTCCGCTGGCTGATCCCAGAGAAGCACATTTGGTGATGGAGGAGGTTTCTGGATGGGAGAGGTCGGGGCCTCTTCCAGAGGGATCCAGTAGAGCTGGAGAGGGACTGGGGACAAGGATTGGAGGGACAGGACACAGGGAATGACTCCCACTGCCAGAGGGCAGGGATGGATGGGATGTTGGGATGGAATTCCTCCCTATGAGGGTGGAGAAATTCCCAGAGCAGCTGTGGCTGCCCCTGGATCCCTGGAAGTGCCCAATGCCAGGTTGGACATTGGGTCTTGGAGCACCCTGGGACAGTGGAAGGTGTCCCTGCCATGACAGGGGTGGCACTGGGTGATCTTTACGATCCCCTCCCACCCCAACCATTGGGGGAATTCACCATTCCCAGGTGAGCTCTGGGATCCCTGCAGCTCCTTCCCCGGGTTGTGCCTCCAC